ATAAAACTCTTCTCCAAGAAAAACTTTTCTGATTTCAAAAGTCTAGATGCAAATGGTTGAAATGGGGGACATGAAATTCTAAATTCTTTCATACAACTGCCATCATCAGGAGAAAAAGAAACTAGATATTATGAATTTAAGATAAATATGGTAATTGGATCCGTGATCACTGCACTCTTAAGAACAAAGTGCCTCTTACTTTGAAAAACTCTATAGCAAGGATGGTCAACCTAAGCCAAAGTTGTTAACTAATAAAAGCTTCCACCTCTAACATTTATTCAATTGTAGTCTATCCATAAAGAAGTTATTGAAGAAGAAATAAAAAAATGCTTCTTTTGATATTGGTGCTTTTAAAGCTCCTGGGCCTGACAGTCTCAATGCTAGCTTCATTCAATGCTATTAGACGATCTTAGAGATGGCATTAACCCAACTTATCAGTGGATATTCATTGAACCCACTTTCATTAGTAAAATCACAACAAACCTTCATCACACTTATCCTTAAAATTGATAACCCAACTCGTATGAAGGATTTTCATCCGATATCTTTCTACAATATGAGCTACAAAATTATAATTAAGATATTCTCCAACAGGCTATAACAATGTATGAATCATTTGATTAGAGATAGCCAATATAGCTTCTAATAAGGAAAACAAAGTAGTAATTATCAACATTAATCAAGAGATCATTCACTCTATGGGAAATAAAATTGGGAAAAAGGGATTCATGGCTTTCAAGATAGACCTTGAAAAAGCTTTTGACAAACTCTCTTAGAATTTTATTGATGATACTCTTCATATCATCGTATTTAGGTGAGAAACTTAAAAAACTCATCATGGCAGCCATCTCTTCCACTCGTATGAGAGTCCTTTAAAATGGAAAATGCACTAATGAATTTACTCCATCTCGTGGCATTTGATAGGAAGATCCTTTTTCACTTATCTTTCTGTTCTTTATATTGAATGTTTAAGTCATAGCATTTATAATAGCATTGATATAAAAGATTAGAAGCCCGTTAGCCTTACAACAATGGACCTCCTATCTCATATTTATTTTTTTGCTAATGATTTATTTCTTTTTGTAGAATCATCCCTTAAACAAGCTAAGATTATCCAATGGTGTCTCACTAATTTCTACAAAGCTTCTAGGCCTAGTTGTCATATTTTTTGGCCTAATAATGTTCATATCAATGGGTCATTTAGCTTAGTGAAGAACTAGGAATCCCCCTGATCAACAACCTTAAGAAATATCTTGGGATTCCTATTATTTATAAAAGAGTTTCTAAACTCACATTTGCTCCACACTAATTGATCAAATTAATTCACGACTTTCCAATTGGAAGAGTTTGTTTTCTTAACACCGGTAGGAAAGCTGTTCTTATAAAATATGTTCTCTCTTTAGTTCCTAGCTATGCTATGTAGACCATGCTCTTACCTGATAATGTTCTTGCTGATTTGGAATCTTGCTCTCGTAACTTCCTTTGAGATTCAATCGATGAAACTAAAAAGCCTCATCTATTATCTTAGGACTATATCACTAGGATAAAGATCATGGAGGTCTTGGCTTCAAAAAGTTTAAAAGCTAGAATAAGGCCTATATTATGAAGCTCTGCTAGGAAATTATAACGAAGCCTAATTGTCTCTAGGTTCATGTCTTATGTGATAAATACAAATACAACAACCCTACCATCCTTATGGTTCATAAAACCAACTCTTGTTCTTACACATGGACCAGTATATACAAAGTTTAGGACTAATTCATATCTCACATAGGTTGAAAGGTAGCAAAGGAAGACCAAATATCTTTCTAGCATGATAAATGGTGCCTTCTTTTTGAACCCCTCATTAAATATGCATCTCCTAAAGCAAACTCTATTCTTCATACAAAAGTCTCTGATTTTTGTTCTGTTTTAACTAGTTGGAAAGTTGATCAATTACATAGATATCTACACCAGGACGCCATTAATCACATCATTGTTGTCCAACCTCCTAATGCCAATGCTGACAATGATATTATTTGTTGGAGACCTCCAAATAATGGTAGTTTCACCACCATATTTGTTTATATGGCTATTGATAATCATTACAACATCCCCAACTCTAAGATAGGGTTTAAGATTTGAAAATGGCCAATATATAAGAAGATTAAGACTTTTCCTTGGAAAGCAACTTAGGATCATCTTCAACCTAAATTCACCTACTCTAATGGTGGCAATATCTGTCCTAGGCCATGCTCCTTTAGTTGTAACTCCTTAGACTCTACTGCTTATATCCTGAGAGACTGCAAGAATTCTAGAAAGGTTTGGATAAAATTAGTTAAAAAATTTACACTTAATAACACTTTCTTTTCTCCCCTTCTTCATGAATGGATACTTTAGAATACAGATTATGATGTAGGTAATGTTTATTTAAGAAAATCCCTTAACAGAAACTGTTTGCCTACATGTGTTGGAACATTTGAAAAGATAGATGTAAAAACATTTATTCCATTGAAGATAATCTTGATAGAGACATTGCATTTACTAGCATTCAAAAGATCCTCAACAATCAATATATCCAATTAAAAATCAACTTTCTAAGTCAAAAGGGCGATAGATCAAAAGTTAATAGTTATGCCCTAAAGATGGATGGGTTAGACTTGATATAGATAGTTTGTCAATAATCAAGGTGCTACTTCTTGCTGTGGACTCATGCAAGACGAACATGGCATTGAATCAAAAGTTTCTCCAAGTATCTTAGATATCTCCCATGTACAGGAGCTGAACTTTTGTGCATCTTGGAAGGATAAAGCATTTATTAGGTTGAAAAATTGATAAAGTTCATGTTACTTTGACTATATAAAAGCTCTCACGTTAATACAAATGAGTTCTTTATAAATCATCCTTTAACTGCAAGTATCAACAAAATTAGAAATATTATTTTGAAAGACTAAACGCGATCACCTTCGATTACGTTTATAGGAAGGCCAACAAATATGCAGATTGGTTGGCACATCAGGCTTATATCTACAATCTTAATGTTCACATTTTTTTACGCTCACCCACTTGGGTGTAGAAATCTTTTGTTCGCTGACATTACACAAAATGTCATCTAACATGTGTCTCTGTGGCCTTTTATTCAAAAAAAATATTATTATAAAAAATGATAATATCCTCATCTTGTTTTTTTAATACATTATTTATTTGTTTAAGAAACTTTTTCATATTTAAACATGCGCTTAATTTTGTCAGTAACACCAACAAAAGAGCATTGATACATATTCACCAATCTCTCTCTCTCTCTGCCCTCCCTCCCTCCCTCTCTGTGCATGAGCATCTACTACTACTCGATCTTTCCTTACTCAAGCTTGAGGACTTGGTTGGTCCATAAAAAAAGGCTTTGACAAAAAAAAAAAAGCTTTAACAATTTAATAGGACCTAGACTAATTTGGATTGAGAGGTGATAAGTATCATGAGAATGGAGGCTCCTAACCATTTACATTGATACATTCTCAAAACTTCTTACTAAAGGACCTCTTGCTAATTGATCCAAATAATTGCATACAATATTCACAGACCTTTTACTAGACAAGCAAGCACGGGGGAACCTCTTCAATAATATATATGTACACTTCTTGCACGTTATTAAAAAGTAATATTTTAATATACCCGTTTAAATTTACTTGTCATGAATTTTTTATAGAAAAAATAACAATCAATAATCATTGAAAAAAATTTATATCAATTAAAAATTAATTGTTATTAAAATTTAAATAAAAAATAAATTTAAATAAATTATTATTAATTTAAAATGAGTTATTGAAACCCTAATAACTAGTCGATAAAAAATTAATTTAAAATCAACAAACATCTATTCAAGTTTTAATAATAAATGATTCTTACTCGACATAAATTTCCCCAATGACCCTTTACTGATATTTTTCTCTTTTTATATGCTCAGTTTTTCCTCTAAATATATTTTAAATTAACGCATTTTTAACTCCATGATATAAAGGTCACACACAAATCGAATAATTAAATATATTTTTCATTTCGCAGACTTTTCTATACCTGTAGTTTTTCTCAATTTGGAAATTGGTCCTTCTTAGTTTTATTGTTTTGAAAGCACTCCCCATAGATTTATTTGTCTGTCCGTGAAACACTTGTTACATTTAGAATTTTCCCCCTGTTTCCACTGACAAGAAAACAGTACAAAGGTAAATAGTTAGACTAATGAAAAATGCACTCCATCAAAGAATCATCAGCAATCAGAGCTCCTAATCATGCGTCGTTCGAGGAAAATCCTCAATGCTTGATACATCATAAATGAAGACTAAGACCAATCATACGCAAAACACAGCATCTAAAGCTTGCATAATAATTTCGGACAACATCTAAGCCACATATTCTGTTTAAACTCTAGAAGTGGCATTTCAAGCATCAAAAAGGGAAATTTGGCTTAGAATAATCTTTTGCTGGTTTGCAGTTCAGATTTCTTTCTGGGATATTTAGGAGGCCGAGAGGAATAACACCCAAGTATCACTACTTTGCGCTCTCACTGGATGGTTCTTCTGTTCCTCCGCTGTGAATTAGCTGACACACGGATTCAGAGTGTTATTATATGTACTAATCACAGTAAGAGGAAGAAGGCGATGAGGTTAAAAAGACTATGAAATATTTGGGGACATTACCAGGATCCCAGTTGTTCGTATGCTTCCATCACTTTTGGATCTTGCTCATCTTCATAACCAATTTGAATTATCCTCGGTCCGTTTACAGACCAAAAGGCTCTTCGACCTCGCCTCCTGCAAGATGACAACAGCGTAAATTTGATGCTCAATTTGGAAACTCGGTCATTCTGAAGGCAATCAGAGGCATGCATGTAGATGCAGCCCCAGAAAGGGAGAAAAATGTCACGTAATCTTTTGCTAGTTTATCAGGTAATAGAACTAGAATGGTTTGTCAATGACACACCACGAATCTACATCATCAAATGGAAACATATTAGACGCATTCACAAGTACTAAGTGGGTTTCCTATGACAGTGCTAAGTTAAAAATGGATAATTATTAATAATAATCAAATATGAGAGTTTTAAAAGGATTGCTATCAGGGTTGTCTTCGACATCTTAATTTTACGCAACCTCACAGTAGCTTTAGAAACTCTATCTCTCTCCTCTATTACTATGCTGTGGGGCAATGCACGATGTATCTGATATCTCTAGTTCTCTACTTCCATTTTGCTTTTGAATGGCTTCTCTAGGATCATCTACAGCTATGCAAACTGTTTAACATACAACTTCTAAATCCCCTCACTCAACCCTGACCAAGAGGAAGGAAGAGACATTTTTTCATGATGAATTATACAAAATACTTAGGTTCAATAACATACTAGCTCTAAACATATGATAGAAATATTGATGAAATGAAGAAAAGAAAGAAGAATAATATTTGAAGATTGGCAATTAATGGGAGATTTGAAGAAAATTCAAGATTCGGAAAATATCTGTTATCTTTCCTTTATTTCAGTAATCTTTCCAATAAAATGTAATTTTTTAGATTTTTAGATTATTCTAGAAAATTTGCAATTAATTCTAGGGTTAGGATTAAGGCTTTATAAGTAGGCCTTAACATTTCTTATTCTGTAGGCCTTTGATTATGAATTGAATAACATTAAAATTTGAGTATTCCCTCTCTCCCTCGAGTTTCTTTTCTTCACCCTCTATCCGTCTGGTTTCTACCTCCTCTCTTTTTGTCGCTCCCTCCTCTCGTCCCTTCTCTTCTCTCTCTCTCTCTCTCTCTCTTCCCCCTTCCCCCTCCCGTTCTACATCAAATATTCACCTGTTACAGCAAAAGAGGGTACAGCAAAAGATTTTTCCTTCCTACTTTCAAATGGACAGGGTACAAAGATTCAAATCTGTTCAGTACCAATAGTGTTCAAGCATAGATTTGGAGACATGTTTCTTTCTTTCTTTCTTTCTTTTTTAAATTTACCTGCAATACAATCAAGTATATGGCTTCCAATGCTTGAATACGAATATCAGCATCAGTAACTGGTTCGCGCTCAATTGAGAGTGCAGTACCAAGTTCAAGTGGCATTTTTGATGTGTCTTGCTCACTGTATAACTGCAAAACAATTGCTTTGTCAATGAAAGAGAGTATGATACATAAACCATGTCCATATAATAAACATTCAGAAGGGAAAACACTATTATTGGTTTCTATAGTTTCATTGGGTTTTACTTTTAGTCTCTGTAGTTTTTTTTTCCAGTGTCATCAGTCCTTGTAGTTTTAGCAAAATTGGGTGATGTTTGTTCCTGAACTCTCCAACAATGTTAAATTACAGGAATTAAATGACTAAAAATACTGAAAACAAATTACAGGGATTAAAAGCAAAACATGTTAAAACTACAGGGATTAGTGATTATGTTTCCTCTGTTCAGAAATGCCAACTAAACAATAGATGACAAGGTAAGAAATGATCAAAACATGAAAAAAATAATGCAGAAAAACAAAATTTTGGGGCGGGGGGGCATGGATATGAACACTGACAAAGACCACTTGAAACTGATTGCAAGTTCGCAACAAAAGCTGGCACCCTTTAAATGAATATTTTCTATATGATTTAGGAAATTTATACTTTACTATGACAAGATTCTGTATAAAGTATTCTCTTCTTTTTTCTTTACTCTGTTAAACATATTATCATTCTACACAGCAATGACAACACTAGATGCACAGAAGATTGAGCTCTTTCATGCCTTTCAGAAGGGAATTCATACAACAAATTACAGGACCATGTAGAAGATTATTTCCGTTCTAGAAAAATTAATGAATTGGGCTCATTTTTTAAAGCAGTTAAAAATCGTTTCGCTCGGTAGGAAGGAATCTTATTTGACAATAATCAGAAATGCCAAAAATTTGGGGTCAAAGAAGGTAGATCATGTAACCTTATGGCCAGCAACTGGAAGCAGTAATGCTGGCCAGAGAAACTCAGATATCAAAAGCAAATTCTGTAGTTGATTTTCAGCTTCAAAACAACAGTTGCGTAAAGTCCCAAATACCTGCAAAGCAATCAAACATAACTATATCAGATGAGCTGAAAGTTCTGCCCAAGTTTGGTCAACCACTGACTTTTAGTAATTTAAAGTAATCACAACAAACAATACAGCATTTATGGAGAAAGCATGATTACAATACAACAATCTATCAAGAGATAATTCATAATTCAACATGAGCCGGTCAAAAGCATGAATCAATTCAGTTCCATTCACACAGTTAAAAAATTCCTAGGTTTAAAGCCATAAGCTCCAGTTATGGATGCAATGCTCAACAGCAGCAAAAGTAAATGAGTTTATATGACTAACAGAGCATCGGACCATTGACATATCAAAATGACGTAGCAGCCTCTCCAATTGACTTGCCACTTCCTTCAAGAGCATGTATAAAAATAGAGTAAATGGAAAATAGTATACTGCTTTATACTACTCAAGAACTAATATCAAGCTATTCAAACACTGCATGAGATTGAAAAACATAAATGTAAGTCATTGTAAATACCCCTTTCTTTCTCAATGAGCTGTTTGAGTCAAATTGTCTAATTATCTGCTTCAAGAGCCCCCTCCTTGGATCAAGCAGAAGCTTCCTTCCTGCTTGCTGCTTTGAGATATTAACAAGTATTGACCCAACATGCTCAAAAGGACCATCTATTACAAATTAGGGGGGAAATCACTGAACCAGAGCAATGATTTGTTAAAAATTATGAATAATCACAAAAGCCAACTACAAAGCACAGAAAATTTCAAGAACACAAAAGCCAAAAGTTTTCTTATATCTAACTATTGAACACCTTTGAGAAGAAACCTTAACCTTCACACTGGACTCTCCAGCATATTATTTTGTCTGTTCAGAATGCTACTAGTCTAGAAAATTGGTTGAAATCATGATAGGATATCACCACGTTAGCAGTCCCTATGTAACGATTTAAGAAGGCACAAACATGTGAAGATATCCAAAAGGGCAGAAGAGTGGGCAATAAGTTGGAGGTTGTTAATTAGGAATTAGGAAGTTGAGTTAATTGTGCACAGTCACAGCGTACAATAGGTGTGATCGATCTATGGCATGAAACTACTCCCTGCTAATGGGTAGGGAAGTAGTTATTTTTTTATTTCTCATTTATAGACGTAACCTAGGAGAATTAGCCTTTGATGTTGATGTTTATCACTTGCAATTTGGAGATTGTCTGCCTTTCATTAATAGTAAATTCAGTGTTAGGATTCTTTAGTTGATCCTCCGATAATCTCTTTATTTTTGCACTTTCTTTTGAAACTCTATCATAGCATCATCAATCCATGCAAACATGAAGGGAAAGAAAAACTTTCAGTGTGAGTATGGATTCTAGACAGTGGATTAAATTATGATCAAGCAACCATTATGTTTAGAGAATAAGTGAAGAAGTGCATTACAAGCCACGGGGTTTTATTTTATTTTTTTAATTATTTTACAACTATTTAAGCAATTGACCAAATAAATTTAAAAAAATCTGGACAAAAGAATTTTGTATTAATTCTGCAGAAGTCACATTGAGCTTGGATGGACGCACCATGACCTTCATGGGTAGTTCTACAAAATGATCTGACAAGCTTCATCACATATAGTCCATGCATCTTATCATCATCAGTCTGACAACCCGACAAGAATCAATAATTGATATTTCCATAAAATAAATAAAAAGGAAAAAAAACGATACCAATGCCATATTCTGTATGATGACAGTAGTAGCCATTTCATCAATTATAATAATATAGTAAAACTCCAAAACATTTTCAGATGTCACCTCATGCACGGATGACATTCACAAATTGAAAAAATAAATTTAAAGAAAGCTAAATTACAAAAATACCTAATCATCACAGAGTAACATAAAACACACCTGGAGCAAGTAAGTGCTGCCAGCATCCAGTTGCGTAAGATTCACCAAAAGCATGACAAGCAAGCGTGTAATGGTACACTCTGGCTTGCATAAAACATCCATTGCAGTTTTGATCATTCCCAAATGAACCATCTCGGCTGCTAGATTTGAGTTTTGAGATAGATTAACAAGGGCTTCAGCTGCAGGTTCAGAAACCTCCTGGAAGGGCATAGCAGCTCTTTTGATCCATAACTACGTCTTGAATAAATGCTACCCCAAATTGTGAATTTGCTCATGGATCATAACATTAATATTTCCCAAAAGTTTAGTTTTCTGAATTTTTTTTTTCCTTCATTCTGGGACTAGATGAACAATCTTGAAACACCACAAAATTCATGATTTGGATAAACATTTAGGAGGGGTGTTTGGTTGGAGGGGAGGGGAAATTTTTTGGGGGGATTGGGAGGGGAGGGGTAAAATTTGTTACACCTTGACCAGTATGCAATTCAAAAGATACAGATACACTTCTCAAGCATCTCAACACTAATAAAACGAGAATAAAATTATTCATATATAATTATTTTTCCTCTCCTCCTCTCTCCTCCTAAACCAAATAAAGTAATATCAACTCCCTCGCCTCGCCTCAAACCAAGCGCACCTTTAATTAAGTTTTTTGGGTCTAAAGAAACAGTTTGAGTTATTCATTCTTTTGCATCCAGATTTGGAGACACCGAAAAACTTAAGAACAATAAATGTAAAATTGACTCTCTAGATTTCAAAAGCACCTTCGGACCAGCTAGGAGTTGAGATAATGATGGTAGCACTGTCTTTGCATATTTGGCCAAGGATTGCAAGCCATCATCAGAGCCAGTTAGTCCACGAACTATATCAACAGCAACCTTCGTTATCTGTGAGACAAACAACACGCTTCACTATTATTCGATGCTTAATTTGTTTATTTATTTTTTAAAAAAGAAGAGTCCCGTCATACATTAGTACTATATCCAAACTGTTATCACGCTATTGATTTTGCAGGAACTAAATTTTTAATAAGTAAGAACATGAAAATTGTTTAATGTTAATGTTCCTAAAAGAAGCTCGTAGAACTCCGAATATAATTTCCCGACAATTTCATGGAAAAGAAACAAAACGAGAAAGTAAGAAACTTTACTTGAGGTGACGGAGAAGACAGGAAGCCTATAAGCTCCTCGAGCTCCGTAGCCATGGTTCTTTCAGTTCCCGCGGGGCGCCACCGCACTGCACTGCAAATGTCTGCAAATAGTCGCCGCACCAGACTTGGGTGGGTTTTTAAGTTGATTATGACATGATACGACTCCGTTTTGTCATTTGCTTTGCTTTTTGGCTGGCTTGTTTATTTTAAAAATCCCACATCATTTGGCAAACAAAATGGAATAAAATATAACATAAAAAATGATTATAATTATAAATAAAAAAATTCTTCAATTTTTTGAACGAAAATAATTATGTAAACAATAAAATACATATCTATTCGCATTATTTTTGTAACTTGATTGGTTTAATTTTAACTTGATTATATATGGTTCATTTCAAATTCTCAATCTTAATTTCTTTTTTTGCAACTTTAAATTGAATTTTTAGTGTTTACTTCCTTAATAGCCTCACGCCTTCTTGCTTCTGTCTCCTTACATTGTGCTTGGTTGAAGTGAAATGGAAAGGAGAAAAATAAAAAAAAAGAAAATTTTAATTAGTTTGGTTAAAAAAGAAAAAAAAAGATTTCACAAAATAGGGTAGGTTGTTGAGGAATTTTGTTAATAAAAGATGTGTCTTTTAAAAGAATTTCAATATAATATCGTTGCAGCTGCTTTATTTCTTTCTTTTTTAATAAAAGGGAAGGAAAAAAAAGCAAAACAACACAAAATAAAGTAGAAAGAGAACAGAGAACTAAGGAGGTTTAAAAAGAACATCTCCATAGAGGTGTTCAACTTAAAGATTGTGGAAGCTCAGTGAAGTATTCAATGCTTTCTTTGCACGCCTATCAACTTCATGGTTTCTAACTCTAGGAATAAGAATAACCTTTATCCTCAAATCCCTTTACAGCAACTCACTTGCTTCTTTTATCACCGATGCATATTCATCGTAATCTATATCACCTCCTAGAAGAAGGTTGACTACTTTAGAGCAATCAAAAAACAAAATACCAACTCGAATTCCCTTATCCCATGCAAACTTTAAGCCTATAACACATGCCTATAGCTTAGCAAAAAGCGCATCCCTTTTATGAAGCCTAACAAGTAAGCCAACTTTCAAAACATCATTCCCATCCTTGACTATACCTCCACACCCCACTAATCTTGTGCTTATCGTGTAGGCACCGTCAACAAAGATATTAAAGCTATCAAATTCTCGATTTAATACAGGAGGACTTTAAGATACTCCTTGCATACCAAGATTATGCACACCAAGCTTACTATGACTCAAACTCATACATCTAATACCTCTAGCATGTGCCACAATGTTGGCAATATCTATATCCTTCCCTTGAAAAACAAATTCATGACGTCTCTTCCATAAAAGCCAGCAAACAATAGAGAATCATTCAATCTAAGTATCAACATTCCTTCCCACATTAGAGCTCAGATTCCATTTGAACCAATTCGATGCATTTAGAGTAAAAAATTTCTCAAGATGTTTAGGTCGAACATTCCTAATCTAGATTTCTTTCAATAAGGCACAATCTTAAAAAAACATGTAAAATATCTTCACATTCATAAGCACATCTAGAGCAATTAGCATCAACACACATACCTCAATTTCATCGCACTTCATTAGTCAACAATCTATCTTGAATAGTTAACCACAGGAAGGACTTACACTAAAAAGGAACCTTCAATTTCTATAATTTTTTATACAATTGTGAAGGAATAATGTCATCATCATGACATAACTCATAAGGCGACTTGATGGTAAAGTACCCATTCTTTTTTGGTCTCCAATGGATAGAAGTTTGCCTATTAGGAAGAGTAAATTGCTAAAGGCCTGTTTCTAATAAATCCCAAGTCTTCTTAATACCATTCCAAATCCTTGACCTAGGTTGTTTCCTTTCAATTTTTGGTAACAAATCATCCCCATATTTATATTCGGTATATACAACTCTAGTCCAAAGAGATTCTTTTTTATGAATAAGCTCCCACCCTTTCTTTATCAAGAAAGTCTGATTTTGCATAGTAAGAGATTTGATACCCAAACCACCTTTATCCTTATTTTGGCAAACCTTATCCCAAGCCACTAAGTGAATCTTCCTTTTCTCCCAGGAAAACCCATATAAATGATCTAAAAAGCTTCTCTACTTCATCATAAATCATAGTGGGAAGAAAGGCTATTTGCATAGGATATTGGGGAATAGTAGACAACCCAGACTTGATCAAAGTATTCCGTCCCACTAAAGAAAGATTAGAAATCTTCCAATTATTAAGTCTACTCTTAACCGTATCCACCACATACCTATAAGTAGCCTTTTGTAACACATTTATGATGTACAGGGACCTTAAGATATTTTCCAAGGTCAGCTATACTAGAAAACCCCAGAAGGTCAGATAGTTGATTCGTCCTGGTATGAGACACATTAGCAAAGTAGAAGACTCGAGTCTTTGCTTGATTAACTTTTTGACCTGAAAACATACAAAACTAAGAAAGGCAATTCTTAATAACTTACACTTGCTCAATAAAAGCTTCCATAAAAATCACAAGATCGTTAGTAAAATATAGGTGTGATAAAGCAGGTCCCAATTTGGTAAGTCTAATTGGCTGCCAAGAACCCTTATGAATTTGATCCTGTATCATATAAGCCAACTTCTTAATACAAATCACAAAAAGATAAGGAGATATAGGATCACCTTATCGAAGCCCCCAAGTAGGCAAGAATTCCTCAATCCCGTGACCATTTCAAAGAATTTGCATGCTGGAAGTGTCTAGGCATCTGTAAATAATATCAACCAATTCAATTGGCAATTTTAATTTGACTAGACAATCCCGAACAAAATCCTATTTAATACGATCATAAGCCTTTTCAAGATCTATCTTTATGGCCATAAAATGTCTCTTTCCTTTCATGTTCCTTATTAAGTGAATTACCTCTTATGCAACAATAATATTATCAAATCTCTCCCTTCCAGGCACAAAACTACATTAGTTAGGAGCAATGATAGAAGGCAAAATCCATATTATTCAATTAGATATCACTTTCATTATAATTTTATAAACCACATTGCACAAACTTTTAGGTCAAAAATCACAAATAGTTCTCAGGTTCTCTTTCTTAGGAATAAGCAGAATAAATGTACCATTAAGGTCCCTCATTAAAGAGGGATATCTAAAACTACTCTGCACCATAGAGATTATAGAAGTCTTAATTAATTTTCATAGGTTTTGGAAGAATAGAGCATTCATCTTATCTATACCAGAAGACTTCAGTGGCCTTATATCAAATAAAGCTCTACAAATCTTCTCAACAACATTCTAGATAATCAGTTTATCTGAACATTACTAACCTCAAGAAAAGAATGAGAAGACTGAACAGAATGTCTTTGACCCCTATCATCCTTTAAAATGTTAGAGAAGAAGCTTTTAGCAATCTAAGTAATCCCTTCAGTTTCATATTCCTAAATACCATCTTCCTTCATAAGAGCTTCAATTATATTCACCTTTCTTCGAGCATTGGCTTTAGCATGAAAATATATAGTATTTTTATCACTAGAAACAAACCAATCATACTTAGCTTTTTATGCTTAAAGGAGGCTTTCTTGCATAAGAATCTCCTCAAGATTAAGCTAAAGTCTGTGTTACAGCTCCTCTCTCGTAGGTGCATTAAAATAGGGTTGGTTCGTTTTAGAAAGACCTTCAAGCCTATGAATCAATAACTTTTTCTTTTTTTAGATGCCCAAAAACTTCATCCTTCCATTTCATAACAACCTCAGTAAAAGAACTTGTATTGTCATTCTAGTTAGCATGATTATTACAGTTCTCATGTACCAATTAATCAAACTCATTATGAAGGACTTAAGAAGCAAGAAATCTAAATAGCTTAGGTTGTGAAGGATATGAGATAGCATCTTCATACATCCTCAAAATAATAGGCTTGTGATCAAATTTGCAATATGGTAAACTGAAAATAGATGCATTTGAAAATCTACAGCTACTGTCCTCATTCATGAGTACACAATCAATTACCCTTACACCTAGTTCTATGCCAAGTAAACAACGACCCTTTATACTCCATATCAATTAACTCTAACTCATCTACTAACAAGCAAAAATTTCGATCAGCAATAGCAGGATTTTAAGATAGAGATCGCCTTTCATAGCTAGACAAAGTACAATTAAAGTCCCCTCCTATGAACCAGGGGCTATTAATGTTTAGGTTAATATACCTTTGTTCATTCCAAAGAAGATTTCTATTAACACATTCAAGCTTGCATATATAGCCATGCCATAGCAGCTCATACTGCTCCTCTTGACCTTGAAACGAATATATTGAGCATGATTATTAAGAATCTCAACTTTTCACTCTAAATCATCCCACAAGAGCTAAAGACCTCCACTATATCCTCTTACATCAACAATGTAAAAATTTTGAAAAACAAGAGACTTGGCAATATTATAAGCATTCAGACTACTAGAATGAGTCTCTACTATAGCCAAAAAGTTCCACCTTATATCTACACTTCAATTCTTTAACAAGGCATAGGAAAGAACGTTACCCAGTATCTCTAGAATTCTAAAGCATAAAATTTATTAAAAAACAAATTAAGAAGAATGCGCTTGCAAGCCCGATCTAATACCTTCACAAAAGTGTGATATCCATTTTAATCACGACATCCAGCTCTTGAGGAATTAACCTAGCACTAGCTGTTAGCTGATTCACGGTATAGTACCCACTTGCATCTTGGCCCATGTCGTTCACATACCCAACAGCATTCAATTCCAAACAACCTGGCTTATTAGCCTTTTGAGGAGTGGCCCTACCAGACGTGCCTTTACCATTATTTCTAAAAATAGAAAATAAGTTTAGACAGACAAAATCGGGCTCATTTCAGCTTATACTAGGTGCTATATTTTCTTTAGTTTTTCCTTTAACCTTCAAAGGGGCTTTTCTCTTTCCCTCCATCGGGATCTACTCTAATTTCTTATTTAAGATTTCCTTGCCAAATTGACACTACTCCTCATATTTCTTTCCTTGCATAGTAGCATATTTATTATTTGCTTTACCTCCTTACTCTCCAAATCCCCATTTTCTTGGCATAACATAAGACTTCTTCATCTCCTTCCCCTTAATCAAAGTATTTGCAGCTCCCTTTGGCTTTAATTTCAGCATCTTGAAAAAATCGCATTTAACAATTACGTCAGGACTGTGTTTTCCACAAGCTAATGTCTTCGATGTACCTTTACCATTCTAACCCACTGCAGGAGTCACTTCTGTCTCTCTTGGCTTCTTTGACGTATTCTCTACCATATTTTGACCATCCTTTGATCGTATAACCTTAATAAACTTAGATATTTACTGTTTCTCTTCAACTAAACTTATATTCTTCCCATTTTCTTGCTTATAAACTTGAGCTCTCTCGGGACAAGCATTCATATGATGCTTAAATTGGCTACAACCAAGCAGAAGAGATGAAGACCTTCGTAAGCAATTTTATACTCTTCAGTGTACACAGTGAAATTGGGCATAAGAAGTTTGCTTAAGTCGAGTTCAACATATATTCTAGCAAAGGCACCCTTATCAGAAATAGAAGTAGATTGATCAACCTTTAAAGTAGTACCAACCTTATCCCCTATCATCCTAAAAAATTATATATTATATAATTCAACATGCAAATCCAAGACATGAATCTAAGCAGCTATCTTTCTTTAGTAGAAAAGGAGACAATGAAGTATCTATTACTTAGTGGTGTAATACGCATAGGCTCCTTGATCTGCCACATTCTTGTCAACCTATGTCTTAAAAACCTTAATAGGATATTATGTCCCAATAGTTTTGCAATAAGGGAATTTAACTAGGGCTTACTCCAGGCAAGATAGGCTTGTTCAAGAATCTTCAACTCTAGGCTCATCATGGAACCCTAATCATCAGTCAAATCCTCCTCCTCTAATTCTTCCTTACTCCTCTTCCCTTCTGCTCTCTTATTAGCCTCTTGCACCCTTAACTTTTCAAGATAGCTCTTCCAACCATGCATAATATTATCAGACTTATCATTAGAAGAAAGAAATCTTACAGAATTCAGACTCAGTAAAGAATCTCTACAAGATATCTTCTTCTAAGTTCAAGTCATCATCAACTATATCCTCTTTCCCACTTTTACGTGTTATATTAGTACTCGTATTGGAAAAAACAAAGTTGCCCTTTCTTTCATTGATTCCACCTCCAGGATCATCGCCCTTCCCTTTACCACCTGTTACCTCTGTTGATCACCAATCACTCTCTCTTTTTCTTACTCATGTCTTCACTACATTGGTAGTCCTTTTTAATTGCTTTATTTCTAATGGGGATCGAATAATTTTTAAATCATATTGGATTAAATTAAAATTAAATTTAAAAAAAATTAAAATGCTCTTCAATTATTTTTCTTAAAAAAAAATTTCTCATCCACTTGAGGTCCTATGCTAGCTAGCTTGGGTGGAATAATTTTTTTAAAAATAATGGAGTTCTTGTCTTGATCATGGATTACACTGTGCATCAGGGGCGTTCAACTTGTACCTATTCTGATTGACCCGATTCTATCCCAATCATATTGAGACAAGATTTTGTGGGATGGAATGAGAAAGGAGTTAAGGATGGGACATGGGATTACCCTTAAGATGTCCTGTCCTATCCCGAATATTATATATGCATATATATTATTATTTTTTAGTTTGAAAATATACATCAATTATATCAATTACAAAAATCTTATTTAAAACTAAGTTTTTATTATTAATAATTTTAATGATACCGAGTAAGCAGTACATAGTAATATATTTCTTTGTAATATAATAAATATATTAATATAATTTATTCTTATATCTATCTATTTAATAACTTTTATTTATATTGCATTTTTTGCTCTATTTTTAAAAGAGTAATTAGTTTAGCATATTTTAATTAAAGAAGAAAAATAATGACTTGATATTGTGCCTGACTTATCTTTTATTGTTGCTCTTATAGTTTAAATATTACTTATAATTGCTATCATAATGTGTTATATACTTGCAATTGTAATTAATGTAATTCAATAATTAATTTTAAATTATTGTGATGACGTGTTGTTTTGATTTTAAACTTAATAAATTATATGATTTAAAATTTTAATAAATATTATTATCTAGACCTTTCTCTCACATTATTTAATTTATTAGGATAGCGAAATGTCTTGATTCTATTCCAATTCTTACAAAATGCATGATAAAAATTCAATCTTATTTTTTTAAAATAAAACATGAGATAAAGATGTTTCGATTTTATTCCATATGAACACCCTTTTCTGTAGCAAAATCACCATCCCGATAGCCTTTTTGTCTTGACCGTCGATTGCACCGTGTAGCGAAATAGGCTTAGATGTTTTCCTACTCTTTTAATCACAAAGTGATGCCAAAGTTTGTGCGCCAATGATTGTCACTTTCATACTAACTTTTGATTTTCATTTGAAAATTTTTTTGAGAAGTGATTTCAATTACCTTAAAATTTTATGAAATATATAAAATATTTTTAATTTTTAAATTTTATATATTTATAATTTAAAAAATAATAATTTAATATTAAACTCATACTTAAATTGTTATTTTTTTTATCAAATTATTATTTTCTTTTGTCAAATTATAATTTCACAAGATTTGAAATTTAGAAGTATTTTTTGTATTTTATAAAACCTCTTGATATTAAAATCCTTATAAGAGATCTTAGAGTAATTTTTTCTTTCTATTTTGAAGATTTTATAAAGATAAATATAATATATATAAAAATTAATTATAGAGTCCACGTAAAGGTATTTTACTAAAATGAAATTATTATAACATTTGTTTCATTTTAATTTTGTGCTTCTCACTCTTAAAGTATTATTTTGATGCCTTAAGACTACATATTGTTTTTTTATGATTATGGCACTCCCTCATCCCCATGAGTGTCGCTTAGTTAAAATAAAAAATCTTTATAATTTAATACTTGCTATATCTTTAACTTTCTTTTTCTTTATATTTGGAAAAATATAATTTTTAGTTCTTATATTTTGTTTGTATTTTGTTATAGGTCCTTATATTTTTTTTTAATGTTATGAGTTTTTACACTTTTATTTTTTGATATTCTAAATTTTTAAATGAATAAAGTGTAGGGATCTTGGATGAGCATAAAATACCAAAAAATAAAAGTATAGATATCCAAAATACAAAAAAAAAATGAACCTATAACAAAATATAAGTAAAGTGCAGGAATTAAAAATTATATTTTTCTTCATATTTATAGATATCTCCAAAGTCCAAACTTTTATGGAGCATATCTTGTGTCCCCACTCATTATAATTTATAATCTAATAAATTATATTTAATAATTGGACACAATATTTTTTCAGGAAATTTTATAATATTGAAATTTCTTTTTTTCCCCACCTATCTCAAGTATATATTTAATTCATCTTTTAACTCCGATTTTATTTGAACAAAATATCAGACTAATAAAAACTTTTTATCTATATCTACAAGCATTTAGATCTAAATTTTGAAATGTTATAATTAATATTTCTCTATTTTAATATATAAATCACTTTTTAAAAATATAATTTGATTTACTTTATAAGTTATTTGTTAATAAGATTGTTTTGTTTTAAATTAAAATTTTTAAATTATTCTTAAAAAGTAAAAAAAGAAAGATAAAAATAATATTATATAATTAACTTACTTTTTATTCTTTACTTTAAGATTATATTTAAAATTTTATTTTTTTTATTTTTTTTATTTTTATTATATTAATATTAATGAGGTTAATGAAAATGATTTATGAATAAGATGAGAGGGGGTATAATTTTTTTTTTGGTTCATGAAATAAAATAAAATAGGACGATTCACGCAAGGTGCTTGAGGCCACAACAACGCTAATTGCTGAAGATTACGCGACGCCGGAACCAGAGGGCATAATCATTCTCGTTCATCATCGCGACATTCACCGTCTGCCCACTAAAACGCTGTTCAAGGCCGCTTTATCTGTCGGTACAAAAAAGCAAAGATCTTGAAACAAGTGAACCAAATTGTCATTAAAAAAAAAAAGAAAAAACGAAAGAAAAAGTTAAACCTTTTGCTCGATTCTGTCTGCGAAACGCGTAGGCTTGGGAATCACAAGTGAAGTGCGGATCTTGATAACGGACAACACCAGTTTGGCCGCCCAAAGATTTACCCGCTTTTGCTTGATTTATCTAGTTTGTGCGAAGATTTCGTTCTGTGTATGTTACCCATGGTAGATCGTACGCCCACCCCCATCATTTTCCCGCCTCCGGTCTGCTCTCCGATGAGGTATCACAGAACCCTGAGTTGATTCTCTTTTAATTCTGAATCCATTTGCTTGTAGATTTCTTCTAACATTGTCCTGCTAGTACTTGATTTTGGTTACGTGTTTAAACACCTTAATTTGGAAAATTTTATGCGAAGCATTGTCGTTTTGATGATTCCTATGGCATTTCTGTCTTTTAATTTCTCCTTTTGAACTTTGTAACTCACTTTTGCTTCCCCTTTCTTGGGGCCAGGAGTGATGCAGTTCACTTTCTGAAGGTTTTTCGTGTGTCTATGTATCTTCATATTTGGTATCTCAATTGGTAATCTATTTATGAGTTTTATTTATAAGGACGGACAAATACATGAGCTGTCGGATTCAAACTTAATGGGATTCGGAACAGGGATTGTATCCCTTTCCTTCTTTCTTTCTTTTTTAACTGAGGATTGTATCCCTTCCATTCTTCATTGTCTTTCCTATTTGGAAATGGCATTTTCAATGAATGCCATGCCTTTCATGGTCATAGAGTAGAATGGTGGCATACACTTTCTCAGCTTCATATGGTAATGTTGATTATAAAATATCGTTATAGTAGCGATGTTGAATACATACCTCTGCCAACTATTGACTTTTCTAACTTGAGCGTTTGATCCTATGTAGTGAGGACTATCAAATTTGATACATGCAAAAACATTAACCACGGAGGCCTATAGGGACTTGTACATGTTTGAGTTTGGAACTTGGATATGATGATGTGTTGATGAGATGAGTAATTTTTGAGTAACTTGTCATCCTTTTTTGTGAAAGTTAAAACATGGATTTTTTTTTGGCAGATGACGCGGTCTAAATCTGAATTGTGGGACCTGCTCTGCAATGGCACAGTATAAGAATAATGGTGAATTCTTCACTGATCATGGCTTTCGGGTCTTTCGTCGTGGTAGAAGGTTTGGTCGTTTTACTAAACAGAGACTTTCAGAATCTTTGTTGCTTCTCATTGCACTACTGTCATTGTCTTTGACAGCTTTTGGACTGAGAATGTTTTTTTTAGGTGAGGCTGGAGACTTGAATCGTTTAATTTGGAACATACATGTAATGTATTTATCTTTTGTCGCACATACATAAGTATAGACGGACCAAGCTATCACTTTCCATCATGCTTCTTGTTTTATTCTTCAGTAATGTTTTTTTTTTTTTAATTTCTCGCACCTATATGATCACTAAGTTGTATTCATGGAAAAATTATTGTTTTAACTGAGATTTTTAAAGGTTCTATAGAAGTAGTATCAAATTGTAAGTCATGTCAGAATTTTGCTTCTTATATTCTTGCAATCGTTCCTCTACAGCTAAAATGGACTCTCAGTCCCCAATTTTGGACTCTAAGCCCCCAATTTTCCACAAACTGAAAGAAGAAGGAAACTTAAAAGAAGAAATTTTGGTATCTGATGTTGGAAGGCCACCTAAAAGCAAGCGTCGGAAGCAACGTAAGAGTCAATATCTTGCACATCAATAAGTCAATGTTATCATTATACTGATATTTAAGTGCTGTGCTTCCATTATTCTATAATACTTTTTGACACAGATAGTACAATCAATTGTTCTGTTTTCAATTAGATTTTCTATTTATGAATTAAAGTTTTATTGTGAATTAGTGGGATAGTGGTTGTCTATGTCCTTAATAACTATGATTTAGTACTTTTGGTTTAGATGGAATTTATTCACACTATAAGCAGTCTATATGTCTATAAGTAGGATAGGATTCATACTTGCGCAGTTTAGAGAAAGAACCTCTCGTCAAAATTCTCTTTTCAGTGCCTCATCCATAGAATCTCGCTACTGTCATGATAAGGGTCACATAGCCTGCCCATCATCCCCATTAAGGCCCTTACCTTAGCAACTGTTCCTGAGTATCTGTTGCAGCCTGTAGATGATGACATGGCGCTAGCATCCCTACATTCCCTTAATATGTGAAAGGTGAACAAATTAGTGGGAAACCAATGGGGAAAACTTCCTAAAACTTTCTGAACTCAAATCTCAATAGACATATTATTAATGGATGGGAAAGGTGAACAAAAAGATAACCGCCTACTTTAGTCATACAGACTTCACAATTATAATATGAATCAAATTTAAATTAAAACTCCTAATAAAAGATAGTTATCTAGGATATAGATTATCATAGCCTGATAATTCAAAATAAACCAAAATAATAATTCTTGTACAAAAAATTTAACTGGATAAAAGAATAAAAAAATGTAGTACCTGCATCAAATCTATGTGTGTGAGTGAGAGAGGGTGGGGGAGGAGGGAGGGAGAGAGAAAGTTAAAGACTCATTGAGAAAACCATGTTTGAAAGAGCACAAATCATTGAATCAACCTCAATAAAGTGTAGAAGGATTGGATATTGAATGGATAATTTTCTTTTAACAAGCATAATTAATCATATAATGTGAAAATCAAGCAGCAACCATCAAGGCTGGTGAGAAAAATCTTGCTGAGGTGAACCTTGTGCTCTTTTCTTCTGTTGTAATATAATCATTAAGATTTGCCAAGGATCTGTTCCTTTGCTTTAATCTATGACGTAGCACAGATTTAGTCAGTGGCCTTTTTATTAAATGTTTAAAAAGAAAGGGGACCTTTCAAGTTCTTAATTTGATGATAACAAATAACATGCTAATCCATCTTTTCAATTATTTATCAGCACTATTATTTGGATTTATGCATTTTAATTCCATAATTAACTAGATTATTTTCATCCTATGTTTTCCCTTAACATCAATCTTTCAGATTTTCCTTGTGAAGTTGGGCTTCTGGAATCGGTAGATGGCATTCTTGAGCCAAAGAACTACATTAACTACACCCGGTTTTCACTAGAATATACTAACAAAGAAGAACAAAAGTCAGAAAATAATTTATTTGAACCTCGATTTGGAGGACATCAGACTCTTGAGGAAAGAGAAAAATCATTTTATGCGGTAAACCAAACACTTCATTGTGGTTTTGTCAAGGCGGAAGGAGGATATTCAAGCACTGGCTTTGATTTAGATGAAAGAGATAAGGCTTATTTGTACAACTGTAAGGTTGCTGTTTCTTCTTGCATTTTTGGAAGCTCCGATTTTCTCAGGAGGCCTACAACTAGATTGGTAATTCTGTCATCTATTTTCATTCTTTACTTGATGTGGAGTTCATAAGATTTTACAAGTATTGTTGGCCTTGTGTGTGCGTGTGCGTGTGTGTGTGATGCTAAAATTGTTTCTAGAAATAATTGTACTCAAGTGATTAAAATTTCGATTGAACCTGTTCTTTTCCTTATCCTTTTGGCTATTGGAGCTAGATAAGTTACAAGTATGTAGAAGATGACTAGCACTCTGAATTTGGGCATCTTTGTTTCTTCACCTGCCCTGTAACTCTGCAGAGAAATATGCAATGGTAACAGAAAGACTGATGAAGCAAAACAAAATGTATAGAGGAAAAATACATGAGAGGGGGTCATGCTCAAATACGCCATTCACTACACTGGATCATCTAGATTTAGTACATTTGGTTTCATATATGAACTGGTCAATGACTAGCATCCTCTTAGAATATTCCCAGTTTAGTTTTCTTCATGATGATTTTGATTAGGTGTGTCATTTTTTGTTATCTATATTTGTTGAATGGGTCTAATATATGATAATATTAACATATTATGTGCTGAAGGAATAAGAGAAATTACCTGTCTTCCTTGATTTTATGACTAAAAGATGTTGATAACTTAGTTTATCATGTGTGCGCTTTATAGTGTCAACTTTGAAGCATCTGTAAATTACTTAGCGTGTATTATATATTATGCCTAATTGCTGCAGATCAGTCAATATTCAAAGGACAATGTTTGTTTTGTTATGTTTTTGGATGATCAAACTCTGTCCAAATTGTCATCTGAAGGAAACAGTCCTGATGATAGAGGGTACATTGGCCTCTGGAAAGTAGTTGTTGTAAAAAACTTGCCATATGAGGACATGCGGAGAACTGGCAAGGTGCCAAAATTTTTATCACATCGCTTATTCCCAAATTCTAGGTAGTTCTTGCAATTCGTTGCAGCATCCTAGTTTCTTGGCCATCCATTCCTCAATCCAACGTTTATTTAAAAATCCTTGATTGTTAGGTATTCCATTTGGCTTGACAGCAAGATGCGACTTAATGCTGATCCGTTGCTGATTATTGAATATTTTTTGTGGCGGAGGAAGGCTGAATATGCCATCTCAAATCATTATGATCGCCACTGTGTCTGGGAGGAGGTACTCCAAAATAAACGCTTGAATAAGTATGACCATGCTGCAATTGATGAACAGTTTAACTTCTACCAATCTGATGGACTCACCAAGTTTGATCCTTTAGCTCCTAATAATCCTCTCCCAAGTTGTAAGTCTCCTTGGTGTCTTTGTTAATTGTGGAAATTTTGTTGCGTCATGTGATTGGTTACGTGGTTCTTTGTTTTCCACCTTGCAGATGTTCCTGAGGGTTCCTTGATAGTCAGGGCGCATACACCAATGTCTAATTTATTTTCATGTCTTTGGTTCAATGAAGTTGATCGATTTACATCGCGTGATCAACTAAGCTTTGCTTATACTTATTTAAAACTCAGGCGAATGAATCCCAATAGGCCATTTCACTTGTACATGTTCAAGGTGGGTCATTCTTTGTTCTCTATTTTTTTTTGTTCATTGTTTAGTTTGCATGCATTCTGTAATCTCCATCTGAGAGTGTATTAGTTGGTGGATCTTGGTCTGTAATGACTATGTATAGGTCATACTAAACAAATCATGTTCCTTTTGTACACAACTGTTGGTAACTAATGTTGTGAAAACTGGACCGAACTGGACGGTCCAACTATCACCCACTAAATAAAACAGCTTGGTTCAACTTTGAACCAATTAAGCATTTGGACTGAATTGACCCAGATTGAATTGGGTGGTTTTCAAAAAACCCGATTTAACTTGGAACCCGGAGCGGTTCAATTCAGGTCAAAGTTTAACCCCTAAAAAAAAAAAAAACTAGGGCTCTGCTGTCTAAAAAAAGTGAAAACAGATATCGCCTTTCTCATCTCCAGCTTCAACCTTCAAGCCTTCAATGCTCGCTCAAATCTGTTCTGCACTGCTGCCTTCAACCTTCAAGACATATATTTTGGATTTGTGGTGTCATTGTTTGGGACTTTGAGCAATTAGAAAATGTTATGCAATGTGGATTTGTGGTGTTACTCGATAAATTATTGTTTTTTTGACAAATTAATGTCTTGTTTATATATATATATATATATATGCATATAAATATTATTTTTTTATTCAATTTTTATGTCACCGGTTTGACAACTAGTTGAATCATGAGAACCATGACCTGCTGTTCTTTTTGATTTGACATTTGGTCCGGGTTTTAAAACACTGCTTGAAAAGCTTGCTTGGTCAAACCCTCCTGACAAGTCTTGCATCCTAACAGTTTTGCATTCTTTTTCATCAGTTCTACTTATCTCTCATCCTTTCTGCATTGTTGTGTGTAAATTTTTATATTTCTAAATAACTGAGATAATATATATAGATATCATAAATCTCTGCAGGATTGTGAACGCAGAGCATTGGTGAAGCTATTCCGGCACAGGCTTCTTCCATCTTAACCTGATACTGCTTGATCAGTTTAACCTCTGTAAGGTTGCCTTTTGTGGTTGCTTTCGTCCTGTAAACCTGAATGGGACTCTTACCTTCTTTAATGCTCCATTATTTTTAAGGATTAGACTTAGATATGCTCCCTCCGGTTCTAAATGTTGGAACTAGTTGAGGGGTTTGTTTTAGTCATAAATGTAAGATCTCAATATGCACCTCAATATCCATTGTCTCTCGTATCTTTTATTTTCTCCCAAACTAACCCAGTACCCCTATAATTAGATTCTTGTATGATGTATGAGCAATGTTGTGAATAAAGGAAGGGTATTTTAGGAAAATGAGTACACATTTTTTTTTAACAAATAACCAACTTAATTTCCTTAATCTATGAATAGTTAACTGGTTCTTGCATTTACGATCGAAGGGAGTTGTTCATTATAATTATACCCTTGCCGTCAAGATCTCTGTAATTCAAACAGGACAAGTGCATAGTTTTTGAAACTTAATATGACAAATATATGGTTAGTTGGGGAACCATACTGTTATATGCAAAAATCACACTTCGTTATGTTATCATCAGGCTCATACATTTGTCATGTTGTAATTAGAGAGCCTGATGGCAAAATATATTAAGATAGTGTTGGCATGAATTTCTCTACCTTTAATTTATATTCATTGGGGATTTGGTCAAAATTAACATTCATACCTGAGCCCCTGACGTGATGTATCTGATATGAGCAGGGATTCACCCTGAAGCGGAGTGTATTTTATCATACTTGGTTTCTTTGTGGCTTTGATTCGTCGAAGTTGACGTAAGATTAAAGCTTGGACAAAGAGTACATTGCTTCTCAGAAGTGGACTGTTTCTTCTCCTTGCAATCAATGCTGAAGATTATTGCTGCTGCTGCTATCTGATGAAGAGAAAGGTGATGAAGGTTTTGATTTCTCGGCTTCCTCACGTTCGCTAAGTAGGCGTGAAGTGGAGAATTTTGCTAACTTTTATTGTTTATTTGTTTGTATTTTCAATTTTGTTAGCATTGACATGTCACTGGTCCTCTGTTGAAAGGTTAGTGATTAGTAGGACTAAAATTTTGTAAATTGTTTTTTCATGCATGTACTGTTTTTTATTTAATATATCTTTTTAACTGGGCTAACTACTGAATTTTTGAAATTATTTGTTTAGCACATGGTAGAGGGAATGTTTTAAAATCCGTTTAGCACATTACTAGATTTTACATCATGACCTTCAGATGGGTTTTAAGTTAAATAAATCATACCTTAAATATGAAGAGAGAAATGAAGATGATGCAGACATATTTTGAATATATAAGGTCAAAAGTGAACTAACCTAAATTACAGGTACAGTTGTTTTGTTCCTTGTTCGCTTATTATTATTATTATTAGGTCTCATGGCAGCCATATATGGCGATCATTAGCCATGTCATTAGAAAAAATTAACGGTGTTAAAAAATTAATAAATACTTGATGATTATAAATTGAGTGAAAGTATAAGATTAAAAGTTAATTTTTTCAAAAAAATTGAATAGAGAAATATACAGTTATTATTTTAATCTTAAATATTCTATTTACACTTAATTTTTATTATTAATTTTCTTACAAAGAAATTTCATCTTTAGTAAGAGTAAATTTAGAAGTTAATTAAATTTTTAAAAAGAGTCAATGAATTTTAATGTTATTTTTAATGATATGATATTAATAAATTTCTTTATAAAGAGTTGAATGTTAAAAAATATAAATTTTTTAAATTTTTTAAAATATAATCATTAATTTTTTTAAAAGTGTTCTTATTAAATAAATTATTTTATATTTTTTAAGATAAAATATTTTATTAAGTAAAAGAAAAAAAAGATGAATTTAATTTAAATATAAATAATTATTTTATTAAAGAGTGAGATTGAGTTAAACCAGCGAGTATAAATTAAAGATTTTATTTTAACTATCAAAATTTAAAATTAAGATTACGTTCATTAGTTCGTATTTGGTTTCTACCATCAAAACTATAGTTTTGTTTTCAACAAGTACGCAAACATCTGCAACAATTTTTTCTGCTCTGACATCTCTGTCTTCGATTGTCCCTTCCTGTGAAATGAATTCATGTTATGACGAATTTGTCATAGGAATAATCAAGCTACAACTTTTTTTTCTTGGCCAGAAATCAAGCAGCAAGCTCATTGAACGTAGCATAATTAGCTCTTGCTTGCGAGGCAAAATCAAACTTCGGAGACCGGCAAAAAAAAAAAACAGAGAGAGAGAGAGAGAGAGAGAGACAGAGAAGAAAAAAGCACCTAGAGGTGGTAGAAAACTAGAAATATGCAGAAAGAAATCCTCATAGAATTTGACGTCTGAACAGTATATAGCGGAGTCGATGGGGACTAGCTTGGTGAGATGCTCTCCTGGTAACGCTTTATTTAGAACGCTCAAACCTCCAAATTCAAAGATTTTCCGATTCTCTTCCATGTCGGTTCGCTACGGTCAGACTACATTTCAACTACATATACCCATCGTTTTCACTTCTGCGAAATGTGATCTTTTTTTTTTTTTCTTTTCTGTGTACAGAAATAGATTATTCATTGATCAATAGGACGTGGTTCATTCGCTTTCAGTGGAATTGTAACATATTCTGACTATTCTTGCTCAAGTTTCTCTGTTTGTCTCTGTCTCTGCCCTAATTTTGGTCGTAGATGGATCGAATTCTAGTAGGAGGGCATATGATGCTTTGCTGTTGGACGCTGGAGGTACGCTTTTGCAATTGGCAAAACCAGTTGAGGAGACTTACGCTTCAATTGGAAGAAAATATGGTTAGTTAATGTTCAATGATTTATAAATTCACCCTGCAATTACCAAGTTTTGAATGAAAGAAGCAAGAGGCTATACTCAATGCTGTGCCTCTTTTATCTACTCAAAAAAAAAAAAAAGGGAATGAAAATATACTCAATGCTGTTCCTCTTTTATCTACTCAAAAAAAAAGGGGGGGGGGAATGAAAATGACTAGTTTCATTCCCAATCTACTATATACAATCTAGTGTCTGTATACTATTATATAAATTCAAGCCAAATTATGTGGATTGGCTTGTTAATAGTATTTTTTGGACCACAAAATCTTTGGCTGTTTGTATTTAATTATTTAAATTATTAAGTGATTTGACTTCGAATTATTTGCAGTTAAATTTGAATTGGACAATGAAGTTCATTTTATGACTAAACTACCGTATTATAGCTCTTTAGATTGGAAATATCTATGCCATGCACGGGCCCTCATATTTAGTTTTTTGAAAATTGTGGGATTTCCCTATGAATCCCCAAGGTAATATGCTGCAATGAATCAAGTGATTTGACATAAAATTAAAATGTAACTCGTATGACTCTCACTTGTTGCTATCTGGCTTAGAGTTATGAATATCCTGATAGCTTTCTGTTAACATTTTCCAGGTTTGATCGTAACACCAGCTGAGATAAAGCAAGGCTTTAGGAGAGCATTTGCTGCTTCATGGCCTGAAAACCTACGTTACCAGGTCTTTGCTCTGTCCATGATAATCTTTTCCTTTTTACCATCATCATCATTATTTTGTATTTTACAGTGATGCTCCGTATTTTGACCTTCTTGATTAAAAACCCATTTGCAGCTTCCACTTTTCTGTTTTGGATATGGCTGCTTCCAGTTATCTAATGGTTATTGGGAAACTGAGGACAATGTTATTTAGAGTGAATATAGTTCTTATCTCTGCCTACAGAGGTTAGAGAAAGTTTATGTGAGTCTGTACAGAGCACATACGACTTTTTGCCACTACACTTTTGGTTTTTCAGAGACCAGTTGTGTGCAAACAGGATTCTAGTTGTTCCATAGTGAAAGATTTTACTTTCATTGAAACATTACCAAGGAACTTAATTATCTAGGTTTTCAAGTTGACTTGCTTACATGTAACTTCTGTGTCACTTTGGCAGTCGATTTCCTACTGTGTACATTTCATGATTACTGATGTTAGATGGTTTTCCATGCAGATTTCTTTTGTTAACATATACTCTAGTCTGCAGATTGGTTTCTTCTTAAAGATATGTAAATAGAAAAGCAGTGTGAAAAGGGTGCTTAATACAGCAGTAACACATTTTTAAGTTGTATTCATTACAGGGAGATGGGAGGCCATTTTGGAAGCTTGTAGTTTCTGAAGCCACAGGTTGTGCTAATGAAGATTACTTTGAGGAAGTTTATGAGGTAACCCTTCTGATGAGAATGGTGTTCTTTTCTAACTCTTGATGATACTCTCAAGCTATTGCTATTGACAGGTTACAGTTTATTTTCTCTTGTCAATTTCTTTGAGCCAAGTCTGTTTATGATATTTTGGTCCTTCTAAATTGTTGATTCTGATCTTCTGTCTTGCTGATTAAGAATCTCCATTCATGTTGTTTTGTGATATCATTATTTGTTTACTAAAGAAAAATAACGTCTTGGGTGTGTTATACTGCCACTTGAGCAATTTCTTTAAGTAGCTGGCTTTTTTATTTTTTAAAAGATAATTTGTCTCCGATCCTTATATCTGAACTTCTATGTGATGTTCTTGTCAGCATTATGCAAATGGTCATGCGTGGCATCTTCCAAATGGGGTTCATGAAACAATTTCCCTTCTCAAGGATTCCGGAGGTCAAATGAATTATACATATTTCTTTATCATAGAACACTAAAATTATATGCCCTTGCTTATCTATGTTCTTTAAAGTTCCATGTTTTTCCTTTCTAACATGAATAGCAGTGACACAGTTAAGATGGCTGTTGTTTCCAATTTTGACACTCGCTTAAGGAAGCTCTTGATGGATCTTAATGTATTAAATCTGTAAGCATCAATAATTCCTTGAACATGTTATTACTTAGCTTTATTGTATTCTTGAACGTTTATATGACAATCAACATAGATGAGGAAATTATTGCTTCTCAACCTCTTAATTTTCAGAAACCCGTGTAGTGCATGAACCTCTCTTAGTGTTAATTCATATAAATTCTTGATTTTTATCTCAGGTTTGATGCTATCATTATATCCTCGGAAGTTGGATATGAAAAGCCAGATCCAAGAATATTTCAGGCTGCTTTAGGTATGTATGGTCTTAATGCATCAAGGAGATAGTTGTCATAGTTTCTTTCAGCTTCTAATTTATCACCACTTTTCCGTAAATTCTTTGTTCCACTTATCTGTGTATTTCTTTAACTTCTATTGCCTAAAGTAAGGAGATAATTGTCATATTTTCCTTCAGCTGCTGATTTATCACCACTTTTCTGTAAATTCTTTTGTTCCACTTATCTGTGTATTTCTTTAACTTCTATGGCCTAAAGTGTAAAACAATAAGTTTGAGGAGATACTCAATAATATAATGATTGCAACAAAACAATAATTTCTATAAAAGAAAGCTACATTTGCATTTTGCAATACCGAAGGATGAGGAACGCTTGAAGAAATATTGCCTCGAACTATTTTTTGTATCATATAGATCAAAACCAATTTTAGAAAATTACTTCTGAAAGAATGCTGCAAGCATGTTATGTTAATTAATTCCAAGGGAAAGTTGCACTGTTCACTGCATTGCTAACATCTATTCCCATGATGATGCTAGAATTTGTTGAATTTTTTCTCACTTTTCTTTTGCCTTTTACTAGATCAAGTTAAAGTAGAGGCAAGTAGAGCCTTACACATAGGGGATGATCAAAAGGCAGATAAATTAGGGGCCAATGCAGTTGGAATAGATTGTTGGTAAGAGCTTTCTTGTTCTAATGTTCACCCTCTCTCTCTTAGACTGATAGAAATGTCTCAATGTCTGTTCATTGCATTTAGTACTTTTTTGGAGTTTTTTTTTTTATGTCTGCATTTATTTGTTGGCTGAAATTTGAGTAGCTTGCTATCTCCTAAAAGCATTTTATGCTCATCTGCGTAAATCAGGTTATGGGGAACTGATGTGAAGACATTCTCTGATATAAAAAGCCGCATTCTCAATTTGGAGCATAGTTTTCAACTATAGAAGCAGTGCTTGGGAATTTTGTTTTAGATCAAGTTTGTCATGTTATATATCCACTTGAATTTCTTTTGCATGTTGCAGCGGTGCAATGAAATGACAGTGAACAGCCACCAAATGAATCCCTTTGTCCGAAAGTGCAGACATTTCTTTTTTTGTTTTTTTTTTTGGTTCTTTTTTAAAGCAGCTATTATAGCAGCAACCAAATTTGCAATACATAACACGATGGAAATTCTCCACAAGTACTGAATTGCTATTTCTTTGAAAGTAATATTACTGTCAGAGTGTCATTGGCTTTACATAAAATTCTTCATTCTCCCACATTGGTGATTGGTTACATAGAAAGCTGCTCAGAAGAATTGAAGCTATGAGAGAAATCATCCTATCTTATGTAAGTTTAGTTAGTTGATAGTGGAAACTGTTTAAGAGATAATCGCATTAGGAATTTTGCTAGATGATATGTATCCCTTGTAATCTATAGATGAAACAAATGTAGGGGGTGATTTAATTGAGCACAAGTTTGTCTAACAGTTAGTACTAGAGCAAGTTGATTCCTACGATATTCATGCTTTATAATATTGAAGTTAACCCCCTTTTTTATGGAAGTTGAGATAAAAACAGTAGCATATCATATATTTGTATTTAAACATACATCAATACACAAATAGATAATACATATCATATATGTAGGCTATTACATTAATGATGAGTATAGATTTTAGACGTGACTTTTGATGGAATTACTATATCCGCTTTGGGCATCATAATACCTGGACCACAACATAACACCTCCATATTTTGCTGAAGTCTTAATTGTTGGTAGCACAGTGGAAGTAAGATCAGACGCAGGAACAAAGCCACTTCCTGCAGCCTCAGGAGAAGCTGGTAGCCCCAGGAATATCTTGTTAGCTGGGATATCTGATGTCCATTGCTTCCAAGCTTCGTCAAGATTGGTGATTCCAGAACTGTACTGGCATGGAGGGTTGTTGTAGAATTGGACCCAAACATAATCAAAAAGACCTGTCTTGAGGGCATTTCCTATCCATGCATCAGGAAATGGGCATTGAGGTGCTGCAGTTATGTACACTTCCTTTCCCTGATTGCCATAGCCTTTAAGATACCTGGCAAGATCACCCCAGTGTTGGTTTGATCCTCCTTCGATGTCAAAGTCAATGCCATCAAGGACAGCGGGACCCAGTGGACGAGAAGAAGACTGTCCTCCCAAGAAGTTGTTCCAAAGGTAAGTGGCTACATGCTCTGCATCTTGAGAGGATGCAAGAGAGTAGCTACCAGCTCCTCCTCCTAAAGACAGCAAAACCTTGATGCCTTTGGCTTGACATGATTTAATGTCAGAACTCAAGCCAGTGCAGCCATTAGTGTAGGGATCACAATGACCAGCTAGGTTTATCATTGGGGTTTGGCCATTGCCAAAAGTTGGCAAGAAGGCCAAAATCAAATACTCATAGTTCCCAGTGGCACAGGCCTCAGCCAGCGTGCCTTCATTACCATTCTGACCCCAGTAGATTGCTATGCTTCCTGCATTAGAGCCATTTGCTAGTGCTAACACGATGAAGGCGAAGACTGAGATGAAGATGGCCCAATTTTTGGATGTCATTGCCAAGTAATAAGCAATATCTAATGAATTGCTTCTTGTGCTGCTTCCTATGCCAGAACACCATGTTGGAGGATGCCTTTTATAACAGAAACTTGTCTCTGGTCTTGCAAATTTGTCGTGATTGTTCTTATAAGAACGTGGCTTGGCGGTCACTTCGGCTCTGGCCTTCATGGTTGAAACGCAATCGTTGATGTAGACGAAAGGTCAGCTGTGTCCGATCTTATTGACGTCTTCTGTGTCGTTTTCTCTACCATGGCTGCTTCTATTAAGTTGTTTTCCATTATTCCAAGCAAAACTGAGTACGGCAGCGGTCAATTGTATCACAGTGCATCAGTGATAGTGGGTTATCATCGAAGAATAATTACTGTTGGATCACGTGATTTTTCCAAGATAGAAAAAAAAAAAGAAATGGAGAGAAAATTGTCTGGATATGGTTATGAAGAACTTCAAACATAGTAACGGAAAAAAGGAACCACGCTACATCTTCAGGAAACGTCCCGGCTATTTGCCATGGACATTACGTAGTTTGCTAGGTTACGTACATGATAAGCTGAAATATGATATACAGTGAAATCTCTGAGGCTTTTAAAATGCAATTTTTAACCTACTTACTAAATAATGGTTCGATACCGGTTTCTGAAACGAACGAGCTTAGCATTGTGCAGATAATTGAAGTTCTTTTATATACAGATGTTGATGCCATGGCATTAATTACGGCTTGAGTTTTCCTAAGTAATACTCTCTGTTTATTTTTATGGTTACTCATATGTGGTTCTACTCAGAGGCAATCATTTTCAAAAGACAATCTTTTAACAAGAATTAAAATCTTAGTTTGCCACAAAGGACTAACTTCTTCTACTTAATCCAATTCTCATTGGTTTACTCTTTATTTTGTTATAGAAGAAACTGTCATGCTTCATTTTTTTTTTTAATATAAGCATAATTACAAAATTTAAGAACCATTTTACATTTTTCTCAACTTGACTTTCATAAAATCAGATTTATTTTCATGAGACAAATTTAATTCTTTCGCATGCTTAACATTAATTACAAGATTTTTTTTGTCCAAATTTTTTTAATTTTAGATATAATTAGCTCAAATAACTTTCTCAAATTACAATGGTTGATTAAAATTTGCTTCCATTTGAATAGGATGGAATATGTTGGAACTGTCATAATCATGTGCATTGTGAAAAGCAGCCAAGCTAATCCATTTGTCCCAAAGAGCAGAAATTTATTATTCTGATTTTGAAGCATTCATTTTGATTAAACTTTTCATTAATTTATGGGAAATTCTTAACAATGTCTGAAGTACTTTTTACAGGAAAATTAGGATTCCTCCCATCTTAATTATATGGCAAAGTTTTAAAGTCATATTTGGTCCTAACTATAAGTCACATAAATAGCTATTAATTAAAATTTTCCTATTTACCTATTGGTAAATTATTGAAAAGGAAAATTAAATTCCAGTTTAGTGGTTCCCATATGCTCTTCAAATGTTGCGTTTCTCTCCCTTTAAAAGGAATAAAGTAGGAATATTTTTTAATTTTAAAACAGATTTAATGAGTAAACTATCATTTCTTAATTTTGGAGAGATAGGTAAAAGTGATTTGTAATAAGGATCAGAGGCAGTAATAATTTTTTTCAAACTTTGTACTATTAATTAGCAACTCCAATCATTTCAGTGTTAATCTAAAGTCTGATATTGAGGTCTCATGGTATTGATTCCAATTAGTTACGTTAAATACCATCCCAGCATGTCGTTTTATTCTTACCATGAAGCCTCTTAATATTCGTACTTTATCATATTGAAACTTTATCCTCAGTTTGGTACGCAGAAGATAAGATACAAACCGTAACATATTTATATATTTGTATTCAAATGTACATCAATTTCAATACACAAATAAATAACACACAAACACGTATATATAGGCAGCCTAGTACATGATTAAAAGATGAGTGTTGATTTTAGACGTGGCTTTTGATGGAGTTACTGTATCCGCTTTGGGCATCATAATATCTGGACCACAACATAACACCTCCATATTTAGCAGAAGTCTTAAGGGCTGGAAGCACAGCGGAAGTGAGATTAGTAGCAGAAATAAATCCAGTGCCTGCAGCCTCAGGGGAAGCTGGTAGCCCCAAGAATATCTTGTTGGCTGGTATATCTGATGTCCATTGCTTCCATGCATCTTCAAAACTGGTCATTCCAGAACTGTACTGACAAGGAGGGTTATTGTAGAATTGAACCCAAACATAATCAAAAAGACCAGTCTTGAGGGCATTTCCTATCCAAGCATCAGGAAAAATACACTGAGGTGCTGCAGTTATGTACACTTTCTTCTTCCCATTAGCTCCATAGCCTCTAAGGAACCTGGCAAGATCACCCCAGTGTTGGTTTGATCCTCCTTCACTGTCAAAGTCAATGCCATCAAGAACAGCGGGACCCAATGGACGTGAAGAAGATTGTCCTCCTAAGAAGTTGTTCCAAAGGTAAGTGGCTACATTCTCTGCATCTTGTGAGTATGCAAGTGAGTAGCTACCAGCACCTCCTCCTAAAGACAGTAACACCTTTTTGCCTTTGGCTTGACAGGATTTGATGTCAGAACTCAAGCCAGTGCAGCCATTAGTGTAAGGATCACAATGACCAGCTAGGTTTATCATTGGAGTTTGGCCATTGCCAAAAGTTGGCAAGAAGGCTAAAATCAAGTACTTATAGTTCCCAGTGGCACAAGCCCCAGCCAGAGTGCCTTCATTACCGTTCTGGCCCCAGTAGATTGCTATGCTTCCTGCATTAGAGCCATTTGCTAGAGCTAACACAATGTTGGAGAAGACTGAGATTGATACTGCTAGCTTGTTGGATGCCACTGTCAAGGGGCAAGCAATATCTGATATGAATTGCTTTTGTGGTGCTTCTTCCTGAGCCAAGATACAATGGTTAAGAATGTCTTTTTATAGTGGAAACTTGTCTCTGTCTTAGAAAATTGTGGGGATTATTCTTTCAGGGACGTGGCTTGGCAGTCGCTTTGGTTCATTTCTTCATGTTTAAAACGCAGTCGTTAATGTTGACAGGAGGAACGAGGGTGGGTTTAATTACAGTATTGACAGCTTCTTTGTCTCTTATTATCTCTGTTTTGCTTGCTTCTGCTAAGTTCTCTTCTGTTATTCCAGTGAAAAGTGCTTGAAGCAGAGGTCATTTGTTAAAGGTTACGCGAAGTCTATCGACATGAATGCTGGAGAATTATTATTGCTGGATCATGTGACTTTCCGAAAAAAATGAAATTAAGGCGAACTATATGAGAAATCATTCTTGTAGAAAATGACAAGGTATATATGCTATATCTGTATTATATTTTTTTTTCATGTTTGTAAAAATTGTTTATAAAAGAGTAAACAGATATTTTAAACATCATATTTAGTCTGAGTATTTTTAAATAAAAAATTTATACAACAAAAAAAAAACAAAAACATACTCAGAACGTTCCAACTCAATCTTCTTTTGAGAATTTATTTTTTACAATTTAAGGATCAAAATGAAATGAAAATCAGAATTTTGAATTTATTTTGTTTAAGAATTAGTTTTCAAATTCAAATGTAAATAATAGGAAATTAATTTTTCAGATGCATGACTAGTTGAAGGTTTGAATTTGACTTACTAAGTCAATTGTTTTGTGTGAAACGAGTTAAACTTGCCTTACTAGCCTAACAATTTCGTGTCAAAGGAAAGGACAACTATGAACCATTGTCCCAACCATAATATAAAAATTCAAGTCAACATTGAATTACTTTATATTGATTGATTTAATAAAATATTTTGTTTTGACTGGTATGAACATGATCCAACAATAATTTTAACTATTAACTCTTAAATAAATATTTTAATTAGTTTAATAATCCATCTAATTTTCAGCACCTTGATGCTAGAAAGAGAGGCCATCCTTCTTAATTAAAGAAGGTTTTGGAGAACAATTAAATTTCATTTGATTCATAGAAATGAATGAAGTAAAATAAATTTTTAAAAAAGATAAAAAATTAATGATAAAAAAGAATAATAAACCACATTCATAAAAGAAAGAGATAATTTAATCTATAAAATTAAAATCATGATTCATAAAAATTTTAAATATATGATAATTATTACATTTATAATATAAATTAATACATTTTATGATATTTATCATAAAATGTAAGGATAACTTAATTAATTTCTGCTTTAATTTTTTTTAATTTATTTCATCCTATTCCTTTCTAATAACCAAATAGTACTTTAGTGTGAGAAAAAATCATAATCCTTTTTTTGGGGGGGGGGGGGGGGGACTGAAACCTCCTGGCTTTGCGCTGCAAACGATTCCTCAAATAGACCATGGACATTAGTTTGCTACGTTATGCAGATGATAAGCTCTAAGCTCAAACACAAAATCTAAGGTACAACAATATGATTTACATTGAAAACCAATGGAGCTTTTGAAATGCAACCTTCACATGCGTGTGAGGTACAATATAATGGCTCACTGCTACTCATCAGAAACTGAACAAGCTTTGGAACCAAATCTAGGCAAGATACCGATAAAACCTTCTGTCACTCTCATCACGCTCCAAAAATTCACGCTCAATGAGGGACTCGATCCGTTTTTTAACCTCCGTTGGATTTGCCAAGAATCGCGATTGCAGCTGCTTTGTGACCTCTGCTACAAGATTGTTATGATCGAGGAATTTCCTTGATTTCATGATCCTCACTACTGCAGCTTCGATCTGAGGCTTCCTGTCCTCCTCCACTCTTTGCCGAGTTTCCAACTTCTCAGGTTCTGACTCCTTTTGTGCTACTACAGTTCCTATTTTTACCTTGTATAACTTGCTGCTGAACTTGTCATTAACAAAGAATGAATCATCCTCCGCAACATCTTTACTCATAGGCTCCTTCCTGAGGACATTTCTTCCCTTAACCAAAGCCAATGATTGGAGGCACCTCTTCAGATCTGAAGCTGGAATCCCTGTTGCTTGCTCGATCTCCCTGTAGCAAAGTCTATCGGCATCGTTGAACAGCATGAGGACACACATTTGATAAGTGGAGACATTTAACTCGTGCTTCTGGCCCTTTCCAAAGGTTGCCTTTACGTCTGCACTTCCCATATTTGTTTGCCAGGACAATCTCCTGCCAGTGTGGGTGCCAAGATAATAGGACCGAAACTTCTCACAAAGTGCAGACACCTCAGCTGGCAGATTGCATGGAGCACTAGGCTGAGCTGGCCAAGATCCTGTTGTCAGAACCTGGACAGTAAGTGTAGGACCGTCTCCGAGCTCAGGGTGGCTCGAGTAAAACCCTTGCATCGTGTCCTCAGAAGTTTTCATGTCCATAAACATGCCCTCTAATTTCGAGGTAAATTGGTAGCCGCATTCTGTCTTGAGCTTAACCAAGAGGCTTCTCTCTGCATCATCAGAAACTGTTTTTCCAGACAAGAGCCGCTTTGCCAGATGCTGTTTGTAATACTTTTCAAACACATCTTTTTCCTGCAAATATCGAAACAGCATCATCACCTTGTCAAGGGTAACCTCTACGTCATCTTCACTTACACCCTTCAGGCCTTTACGAAGTTTATCATCTACAAACAGTGAAATGTACTCTGGAGAACGCTGATTCAAGTTTATGAAGTATTCAAATGAAGAATTCAGAGCATTCTGAAATGATTTGTCGTTGTTGAATGCCAGGTTAATAATCTTGTCATATTTATCTTTCTCATCCAAAAGCCTATTCACAAACTCTACGGGATCCTTCAACCTTTCCGGATCAGTAATAAGCACTTTGCCAGATTCTCTGATGTGGGAAGTCATCACTTCTCGAATTTTTGAAAGACCCTCAGCGACGCGATGGAACAAGTTATACATTCGACCCAGATCTTCATACTTATCGTCACAAAGCATATTTACTAACCCAGAATTCTCCATGTTTATTAATCTAAGCATGTGGTCTTCAATCATCTCCTTCTCCACTACGTTTGTTATCTTCTTTTCAGTCCTGGAATCCAAGTAATGGTTCACCCTGTCAATTTCCTCGTTCAGTCGCTTCTCTGCTTTTTTCAAATATTCCCCACAGTCACAGCACTCAATGAATTTCTGGGATTCCACCCTGTAGAACTCAGCAGACACTCGAAGAAAATGAGCCTCAAATTCTTGTGCATAAACAGATGGACCCAAATCCAATAGCATCTTTATTATATTCCTAGTTAGCCCTCTATCAATAACTTCACCAGTGCGCTCCCTTTGTACGAATTCCAAAAGTATAGTCAACAGCCGGGTCCTGATCTGGCTGGAGTAAATAACATTTTCTCTCCAAAGATTCAGCCCAAGCTCATGAACAGGTGTCTTATGTGTGCTTGGGATGTAAGTTCTATCCATATACATCAGTATGTCTCGGATCATTCGTAATGCCCTATTATGATCATTCCATTTTCTGTTAAGTTCTTCCAGAAAGGATTCCCCTTGAGCTGCTTCAACGGAATTAGCTATGTCTTTGAGATGTGCAGTCATGGTTGTAACCAGTCCAGAGTAAAGCCTTTCACCAAATTTGTGAAGCACCATATTGTATGCATTTCTGAATCCACGCAGGAAAAAAAGGTGGAAAGTTTAGAGGCATAAAATAAGTTTTCCCTCGGGAAAGAATAGAACAAGACACAAAAATCCTTTAGATGTGCACATGTCCAATGAGAAAATCCATTACTTCAGTATATGTTATTTAAAATAATAGAAATTCATTAGTTGAGCAAATGAATAAACAAATACTCCAATAAATATCCAACTATAGTTGGTGTATCTGTAAATAAAAACATCCCCCCTATGATGCAATAGAAGCAAAAGTTTCATTGCATGCAAGAAAGTCAATAGATTCAGTAACATTGTGCTCCACAAGATCACTCCCATTAACAGGTCCAACCTTTGCATATTTGCACGGACATACTGTAGTTATTAGATTATGTTTCTGTTATGATTTTATAATTTTGAGACTGGTTAGTTATGATGACAAGGGGAATAGCTGTTATGTGTTGATTTAGTTTTAATGGTTAGTCCCAATAAAAACTCTAACATTTGAATTATAGAATAGCGATGGCAGATTAATGAAACTCTAGTGCTATTTAGTATCTCTTTTCTCCTCTCTCTCTCTAATCTCTCTCAACCTCCTTCGTCTCTAACATTCCTGTTCTTCTCTAAATCTCTCATCTATCTTCTTCCTATAATCCTCTGAAATTACAATTTTACAATAGTGGTATCAAAGCTAACGCTCCTTGGCAACTTTTTTTTCCCCTACTACTCATCCTTTCAATTTATGGTAAAAACAAGAAATCAGACCCAACAAGAAATGGAGGAAAGGTTCCACCAAGTCGAGCAAAGACTCACCAAGTTAGACACCATTAACATGCTCAATGATCAAGTAATGGGTCTTTCAAACTAGATCCAACTTCTGATGCATGATTGAGAGGAAGAATTAACCAAGAGAGATCAGCGTGGTAGAAATGGCAGAAACGGCCATCATTGCCCACATGAAGTCAATCATCGTCATCAAGAAGACTACCGACAAGCTACCCAATTCACAAAGATGGACTTCGCAAAGTTATCCCATTCTAATGTTTTGGGATGGTTGTGAGCATCATTTTGAATTAGATGATACCCCAGAAGATAACAAAGTGAAAACGGCATTGATTTCTTTAGACGAGAAGGCCTGGTCATGGCATAAGTCTATGAAAATAACTTGGTTTGGTATACACCCAACATGGGTCAAATATGTCAAAGCCCTTAAACAATGTTTTAGACCCATTTACAAGACACCCTTGGGAGATCTGATGCAATTGCAACAGAAGGGTTCCCTGGCCAACTTTAATGACGTGTTTGACAGTGTGGCTTGTAAATTGGATTTGCCAAAATTTGTTGGTTGAAGCATACATAGAAGGACTATCGGAAGATTACACAAAACCTATTTGGCTTCTCAAACCAAGAACCCTCCAAGAAGCATAATCGCTGGCGCGCATGTAGAAAATAACTCTACAAACACAGGTAGAGAAGAAAACAAGTGTCAAGGGCTCTATCTAGGTGGCTACATTTTTGAATGCTTCATCACAACCTTCACAACAAAGGTGTCCACCTTATAAAAATGCTCTACTATATAGTGGGACCCAATTGAAGGGGAAGGCCACATATACTTCTCAAAAATCTTCTTCTTCAGTCTCTTCTTTGAGCTCTTTCTCAAAAAGCACCTCCAATTTCCCTAAAATTCTCTCTACAACTAATTAAGTAGAGCACAAAAGCAAAAATTTATGCTTCTACTGTCACAAGAAATTTTCTTAGGATCATAAATGTCCTCAGTGGCAAAGAATGCATTTGCAATATATTGAATTGCCAAAAAATCAAGAATTCAAGTCTGCGAACCAGAAGACAAGGAAAGAGTTAATGAAAAAGAAACCCCTCTAATCTCCCTATATGCCATGGAAGGAATTGAAGGTTCTTCATCAATGAGATTAATGGGGCATTCTAGCAAAAAGTAACTCTAGATCCTCATTGATAATGGAAACATGCATGACTTTTTGGATTTGAAACTAGCAAGAAAACTAGGTTGATGACCTAATGGCACCTATGAATCTTGAATAGTTGTTAGTGGAAGTAGATTAAAGGTGCATAGGGTTTGGGAAAATTTCAAATGACGTATGCAAGGTTTAGACCTTGTTTTAGACTGCAAAATTTTAGAGCTTCATTCCTATGATATGGTACTTGGGCTGCATTAGTTGAAAAGCATTAAAAATGCTTTTTGGAATCATGAAAGCCTCACATGTTCTTTTGGTATGAGGGAAAATTATGTAAGCTGCAAGCCAACATTCCTAATCAATAGAAGATGGTGCAACCTAAGCATTTGGAGTTTAGTGGCAATTCAGAAGACCAAATATACCTACAACAATGCATTACTAGTCAACAAGAAGATTGGCAGTGCTTCATGATTCAAACAACCACAAAAACTACCAAAACATGATTTCTATTTTTTGGACGATTTTTCTGATTTGTTTAAAAAACCTCAAAGGCTACCGCCATTTAAAGAAGGCCACAACGACCCAGTGTTTTAAAAGGCACCAATCCAATTAATTTGAAACCATATCGATATCCAACAACACAAAAGGATGTGATTGAAGGACTTGTGGGATATCCAACAACACAAGGGCTACCGCCATTTAGAGAAGGCCACAACGACCCAGTTGTTCTAAAAGGCACCAATCCAATTAATTTGAAACCATATCGATATCCAACAACACAAAAGGATGTGATTGAAGGACTTGTGGGAGATCTTCTTAACAATGGGGTTATACAGGAAAGTGTTTCTCCTTTTTTCAGCTCCCTTAGTGTTAGTTACGAAGAAAGACGGCACATGGCGAATGTGTATAGACTATAAGGAGTTGAACAAACAAACTATTAAAACTAGTGCCCTATTCCATTAGTTGAGGACCTATTTGATGAATTAAGTGGAGCTAGGTGGCTACAAAATTGGATTTAAGAGCTGGACATCATCATATTTTGATGGTGCCAGAAGATGTTCACAAGACTGCATTTAAGACTTACGGTGGGTACTTTAAATGGCTGGTTATGCCATTTGGCTTGACCAATGCCCCAGCAACTTTCCAAGGGGCAATGAATAGCATCTCCAAACCTTTTCTAACGAGGTTTGTCTTAACTTTTTTTTAATGATATTTTACTTTATAGTGCTAATATTGTGGAACATGTGCATCATTTAGAACAGGTCTTTTCACTTCTAAAGGTAGCGTCAATATTTGTTAAGAAAAGTAAATGCTCATCTGCTGCAATTGAGGTTGAATGAATACCTGGGGCATCTAATTGGAGGAGGTACGGTCAAGACTAATCCAAAAAAGGTTCAAGCAGTGGCTGATTTGCCAAAATCTCAAAATATCAAATAATGGAGGGCCTTTCTAGGGTTTGCTAGGTACTACAGGCATTTTGTTAAGGTTATGGAGTTTTGACCTAACCTCTAACCCTTCTTCTTACCAAAAAAAAAATGGGTTTGCATGGTCCCAGGAAGTTGCCATACCTTTCAACCACCTTCCAAAAGATTTTGATTACTACTCCAGTGCTCACACTTCCACATTTTACTCAACAATTTTGGTGGAAACTAATGCATGTGGAGTAGGTGTTGGTGCTGTTTTGATGCAAAAGGGTCAACCTATTGCTTATTTTAGCAAAAGTTTAGCTGATAGGCATCAAAAGCTTTCTATATATAGAAGGAGTTAATGGCTGTTGTTTAGCAGTATAGCATTGGCATCAATATTTAGAACGGCAGAAGTTTATAACCAAATCAATTCAAAGGAGTTTGAAGTACTTGCTTGAACAGAAACAACAAATGTTTCGGGTTGCTAGGCTAGCAGGATTTGACTTTGAAATACGGTATAAGAAAGGGCACGAGAATTTTGTTACTGAGATGCTCTTTCCAAGTGCCAAAGCAGCAACTAATGCAGATGATCTTAGACACTTCTTCACTACTAGAATTACTTGAAAAAATCAAGGGTAGCTGCAAAATGGTGCTGTAGTTGTAGAAATACAGAGAAGGTTCAAGAAAATAATGGAGTTTGGGAGCATTTTTCATGGGATGGCAGTTTGCTAAGAAGAAAAGTCAAGTTGGTTGTAAGGAATATTGTTAACTTTACAACAATAGAATTCTAGAATGGCTTCATTCTAGTGCATAAAGGGGTCATTTGTGAATACAAGCAACTTACCACAGAATTAAGGCTCCATTTTGGTGGAAAAAGTTAATTAATGACATGACAGATTTTATTAAGTATTGTGACACATGTGCTAGATGTAAGTATGAAGCTGTAGGGTCGCCTGAGTTATTACAACCTCCTCCAATACCAAGCAAAATTTAGGAGAGTATTACCATAGATTTCATTGAAAAACTTTCTAGATTTCATGGTAAGGACATAATATGGGTTTTGATAGATAGATTGAGTAAGTATGCATATTTCATTCCTTTGACTCATCCTCATTCAGCATCTTCCTTGGCATAAATTTTTTATGGATTATATTTATAAATTACATGGTGCCCCTACAAAATTATATCTGATCATGATCCAATTTTTGTAAATGGTTACTAGAAGGAGTTTTTGCAATTTTAAGTATTCAATAGCATCTTTCAACA